ACTCCTCCGTAGTGTCTCTTTCTGTCCGGCTGGGGCTGTGAAGGTCGTCCCCTAATACTCCTAGAGTAAGACCTGAAAGAAGATGACATTGAAACACAGGTCATCCTCTCAGCTTTTTCCTAATCAACTGAGTTAATTCCGTCACCTATCAGAGGGTCACGAAAACTAGGAACTGACTGTGTATCCTAAATTTCTGACAACTGAACCACGAAGAAACGAACGAGGGGAAGAGTCAATATTCTAAAAGTAACATCAACAAACTAGGAGATCTCAGAAGGCGTAACCAACCGTCCCATCGAACTGCCCAAGTCCCTCTACAAGCGTAACATTGGGCGTCTACCTGGCCATCTGACTCATCAGCTCCCCCACTCACCAGCATCTCCACTCAAGACCAGCCCTACACCGCCCCACTCGGTCCTTAGTCATGAGCCACTCCCCGACCACTCTTGCCTGCGGCCAACCAGCCCCACTGTCCATCTCGCTCTGTCTACTCATACCCTACTTACCCCTAGCCGTGCCTCTTGGACTGGTGATACCCACCCAACCAGATAAGACCAGGTTAAGTGAACGGCAGCTCACTCTGGACGACCCACAGGTCAGGGCAGTAACAGAGAAGCCCTGCTTTCCAAGCCAGCCTCCCTTTTACGTTCTATCCTCGAGGATCAACCTTACCCGAATCTCGCCTGATCACTTTGAAGGCCACCTGCTCCAACTACGGCTTACCCTCCTCCGCTGACAGTGGTCGAGCAGTCCACTTTCTGCCCAGTGCTCGCCCATCCGTCTCTCCAGGTCTCTAATCTACGCCCCTCCTGCCCTGGAAAGGGTTTCTGCCGATCGAGAGTGGCATCCCCCCATACTTCCGGCGACCTCAGTGGTGGCATGGGTACCTGAACTTTAGGTGCCAGAGGCTTAGCATGGCGCTGAGAATCTGGGTTCATATAAGAGCAACCAGCGAGATTCTGGCTGCAGGTGACGCAAGGGCCTAACTTCGGACAAAACTACTTGACGCAACCAATCTTGAGTCAGCACTACACCAACGTTCAACTCCTGGCTGCAACTTACTAGCTAAACTGACCTTGAACCAAATAGTTCGCCTGCATAACCATAACCCCAGATCGCTCCCTCAATTTTGAAACCTAAGAGCCTGACCGAAACCCTCCCGAGTTCTACCAACATGAATCGCAGATGAGCTCTA